GTCAGGATTAGGGATGGAGCTAAATCATCTCTCTTTAATTTCACTAACGTTACTTATTTACAAAGAGTAAGTTTATCGTCACTTGATTATAAGGATTTCATAGCTTATCATAAATCTGTGGACTTATTATATATATATATTTTGTTCCTTTTTAGCCGATTGCAAACAGGACAACGCAAGCCTTGAGGAAAGCTGAAGAAAGCCTGTCCTCTGCATTAGTTCTCTGAGAGTAGGCTATACTTCCACAGCCTAATGTTGCCATTTACGGTTTTATTTAATCGTCTCACATTCGTCACTATTCCTCCAAGCATATTCTTTTTGATGTTGTCCAAATCCTCTTCGACTGGAATACCCCATATTACTCCCCGTGTCCCCGTTTTTCCATGTATTACTTTTTTATCCACTACAGTCTTCTTGCATACACTTCCAATATGCAACGCTTTATTCCTTTGTTCCTCTGTCTTACATTTGATCAATATATTCCCGTCATAAAGGATTTTTGCCATTTCTATCTCTCCCAGCTTCTTCTTTAAATCTTTGGTAAGTGCAATTGGACTTAAACCTGTGTTCATCTTCTTTCCTCATTACAAGTATAATCTTGAATTCTTCCCTTTCCAATCTCCTCCGAATCGTGCGCTCATTTTCCTCGGAACTACTTTCTTCCAGACCCCTTTTTTTGCTTACATTATTTATGTTTCTATTCCCTCCTTCCTGACTTCTTCCTACATCTCGCTCTTTTTCACGGCCTACCGCCATCCACTCTTCACTATTCATGTCATCATCTTCATACCAAGATCCTTCTCTCCTGACCCATTCACTAACCAGTTCATGCCTTCCGCATTCCTCCAAATGTGCGGACTCATGCGATCTCCTCTCAGATTGTCCTGATCCAGCAATGTTGTCGTTTGCTTTCCCGCGACCTCCAGTCCTCCCATCCATGGGCCCTGTCTGAGACTCGACTCACCGGTTCCATGACGACAGCTTCTTCTTCTTCTTCTTGGTTTTATGGCGAGCTGCAATCTTTGCGCATATCGCCACGTACTGTGCTGTTATGCAACCAGGATTTTCTTTTATTATATCAGTTGTTCTGTCTGAGCTCTGAAGCCATCAAGAGTCCAGGTATCGGTCAGCTCTCCGTCCTCCACTGAGCCCCTTAGACTCCAACATCTTTTATATTATATTCTTTTATCTAGTCCTGTGCTATATAAACAATTAAATAATATCCCACATCCTTATTCTTCTTACCTTTATCCTTTAGATATGCCATTAGTTCCCATGACAACAGCTGTCTGGACGTTCATAACAAAACGCGTTTAACATTATTTTAGAAACATATAAAACATCTTTTTTATTTTTGAATAACGTCAACAACAGCACTTATATACGGTTTTATTGTTTGTTTTGCTCATATTGCTGTTATGTCTCTAATATTTGAATACTGCTAGCCTGTACATCGATCTTGAGTGTGGAACAGTCTTTATAATTATTTATAATTTGAGGAGTTATGTAATTTTTGTACCTTTTTCATCTCTGTTCGTTTGTTTATTTATTTATTTTAATTTATTTAAAGATTAATTTGGGGTATTTTCACCTTTATTATGACAGGACAGATCAGAGCTGGCAGGAAGTGGGACTCGAACTCGGGACGCGCCGCCCACAAGGCTGTCAGCGCCAGCTAATTAATTCATTTTTTAATTGCATTGTGTTATGTTTGGCTATGAACCCTTGGATTTTACCCTTGTCTTTGCAATCTATCTGTTGGTCTGCAGTTTATGTGCTGGGTTCAATTATTGCTTAAAAAACACTTATTCCAAGCACAGCCTTGAAAAGGTTTAGAGATGAACAAAAATGTTAATAATAGATTTTTTTTTTTTGTTATTCATTGATTTAAACCATTCATGCTATTTGTATGTATTTATTGTCACATGTTACTGTCATGTTGTGCCAAATATAATGAATTGTGTGGGTGTGTTTGTGTGTGTGTGTGTGTTTGTGTGTGTGTGTGTGTGTGAGTGAGTGTGTGTGTGTGTGTGTGTGTGTGTTTTGTGTAAAGACTGTGTTGGTCCGCCAGAGGGCGCAAGCGCGGGTTCATTATTTTTATCATTAGCACTCAGAAGGTAAGAGGAGATTCTGCTCAACATCATTAGTTCTTATTAACATTAACATTCACGTTCATATCTAATGGCTTTATTTACACGCTTTCAGCTCGAAGCTGTTCTGTGCTGTTACATGTCCGTGTTTTAATCGCTTCGTTTGCGCTGCTGAGGGGTTTATCTGCTTTAGCGCGGTTAGCTGGACTGGCTAATCATGACCCTCGATCCCGGACAGATTAATAATTATCTTTCGTCTGAATGTCATGTTTTGATTTCATGCCGCAAAGCCAATGCAGTTTTAATGAAACTGATGTTTTGATCTGGTGATTTGAGCTGTTTGTGTGGACAGCTAGTCGAGCTAACAGCATTTGACAGGAGATTTATTCGTTGTTTTAATATTTGACATAATTAAAATCAAAGAGTCTTACTGAATAAATGACTCTAATTTACGGTCATGTGTCTTCAGGATGAAAACAGACACAAGTTTAGTTTGTTCTGCCATGATTTCTAATGTCTCAACAAAAAGACATTTCTTGATTATATAGATTAATACATTTTATTATTGAAAACAGACACGTGTGAGTGTGTGTGAGTGTGTGTGTGTGTGAGTGTGTGTGTGTGTGAGTGTGTGTGTGTGTGAGTGTGTGTGTGTGGATGAAGCGGACTGTGATTAGCCTGTCTTATAAATCACATTAAAGCTGTTGAGATTCTGAAATAAAGAGGTTTAACTCTGTTAACCTTTCATGAAATCAAATATCATTGTTTTAAACTGCAGTGATTGGCCGTGTCTCTATATATAACCCGTCATTTAAAGGTTAAAGGTCTTTCTCTGGATGTGTCCCAAACCTAGTTAGTCGCCACCTACATAGGCAGCAGATTTGGACACGATGGTCATGTTCTCAGAAGGTTCCTTCATTCTGATGCTTCACATGTTGGCAGCTCGCTGTGTTTTGAGACGCAGCCGTGTGTCATTTGAGACGCTGATGATGGACTGTTGTGTTTCTCTAAATATATTCTGACATGTGCCTCCAGAGATATGATTATATATTTATACTCTGCAGAGCTGCTCAAACTCTGATAGCACGACTCACATTGTGTTTGATGAACGTGTGTGATCATCTAGAGTTCACACACAAAACATAAGGCCTGCTTAAAACAATTCAAATGAGCTGAAAATATCCTCACCCTCAGGTCTATCCGAGATCAGGATGAGTTTGTTTCTTCATCAGGTTTGTAGAAATGTAGCATTGCATCAGTGTCTCAGCAATGGATGCTCTGCAGTGAATGGGTGCCGTCAGAATGAGAGTCCAAACAGCTGATAAAAACATCACAATAATCCACAAGTAATCCACAGCACTCCAGTCCATCAGTGAACATCTGGAGAAGACAAAAGCTGAAACTAATCCAGCATTAAGATGCTTTTAACTAGAATACGAGTCCATAATCCAGAATAACGCTTCCTCCAGTGAGTCAGTGTTCTGGTCTGCTATTATGGATTATGGACTCTATGGTATTTTAGCCAGACAATATAACGTCAAACACCATAATCATAACCTAAACTGGCTGATCAGGACCTGATGGATAAATGCATGAAACACTGATTTGAGTACAAGTAAAAAAGAGAACAGTTTGAGCTGAAAGAATAATAAAGTCAAGTCACATTTATTTCTATTGTGTCAGTAGTTCTCTCTGATCTCTGATTGCAATTTATAAGTTTCGATTCTGAAAACTGTTCTGGTGCTACGCGTGACCAAGTGCTGTGAGCAGCCATGCGCCGGCGTTTCCCGTAAAGGATGTCACAAACCAAATAACAGAAACACCGCCCTGCCTCTTTAATTACTGAGCACATTGTTTCCCATGATGCGCACTCCACAGACACGCCACAAGTTCATTAATTTACATTTAGAGATTTAGCAGACACTTTTATCCAAAGCGACTTACAAATGAGGACAATGGAAGCAATCAAAATCAAAAGAGCAATGATATGCAAGTGCTATAACAAGGCTCAGTTAGCTTAACGCAGTACACGTAGCAAGGTTTTTTTTTAATCATATAATAAATAAAAAGAAAACATATAGAATAGAAAAAGAATAGAGCAAGCTAGTGTTAGAGGCCTTTTTTGCTTTTGTTAATCAGAAGAAGTCAGAAGTCAGAATTATAATTGTATAATAAATAAAAAGAAAACAAATAGATAGAATGCAGAAAGATTTAGGGAAATGAAAAAGTGCTTGGCCCTCAAGGGACTATTTGGCCAACCAGCTTATTCCTGCTTGAAAAGCAAAATGTTATTGATGATAGTGTAAAAAACAAACTTTGAAGCACATTGATGGAATAGCATTACTCAACATTACTTACTACCTTACAGCAACACTACATTCAATGAAGCTAAAATAGTGAAGAAAAAATAATAATAGTTAATTTAAATGGAACCGGAATCAGAACCGGGAATCGTAAATTTCTTGCAATACCCAACCCTAGTGTCAGTATTTCTCTCTGATTGGTCGTTCTCTCCGTCTGTGTCAGTAGTTCTCTCTGATTGGTCGTTTTCTCTCTCTGTGTCAGTATTTATCTATGATTGGTCGTTCTTTGTCTGTGTGTCAGTAGTTCTCTCTCTTGTGTCAGTAGTTCTCTCTGATTGGTCATTCTCTGTCTGTGTCAGTAGTTCTCTCTGATTGGTCGTTCTCTGTCTGTGTGTCAGTAGTTCTCTCTCTGTGTGTCAGTAGTTCTCTGATTGGTCATTCTCTCTCTGTGTCAGTAGTTCTCTCTCTGTCTGTGTCAGTAGTTCTCTGATTGGCCGTTTTCTCTGTCTGTGTCAGTAGTTCTCTGATTGGTTGTTCTCTGTCTGTGTCAGTAGTTATCTCTGATTGGTCGTTCTCTGTCTGTGTGTCAGTAGTTCTCTCTGTGTGTGTCAGTAGTTCTCTGATTGGTCATTCTCTCTCTGTGTGTCAGTAGTTCTCTCTCTGTGCGTCAGTAGTTCTCTCTGTGTCAGTAGTTCTCTCTGATTGGCCGTTTTCTCTGTGTCTGTAGTTCTCTCTGATTGGTTGTTCTCCGTCTGTGTCAGTAGTTCTCTCTGATTGGTCATTCTCTGTGTGTGTGTCAGTAGTTCTCTCTGTTTGGTCATTTTCTCTGTGTCTGTAGTTCTCTCTGATTGGTCGTTCTCTCTCTGTGTGTCAGTAGTTCACTCTGATTGGTCGTTCTCTCTGTCTGCGTCAATAGTTCTCTCTGATTGGTCGTTCTTTGTCTGTGTGTCAGCAGTTCTCTGATTGGTCGTTCTCTGTCTGTGTCAATAGTTCTCTCTGATTGGTCATTCTCTGTGTGTCAGTAGTTCTCTCTGATTGGTC